TGGATTAGGTCAGGAGAAGGGGCAGATGACATCAACAGAAGCATGTGACTGGTGGGAACAGTTACTATGCTTCTGGGCTATCTAGTCCCTGGCTTAGCAGAAGGGCAGGGGAGATGAATGGTGATTATCGTTTGGCATTGATGAGGTCCACAAATTCAAGCTTGAGGGAAGCTCCATCCACAAGGAATCCAGTCACATCAGGCTGGCTTGCCAGCTCTTTGCAAGTTGCTTCAGTCACACAAATCTCCATAAATGATGCAGGGGCTCTGAACCACTACATCACAGACCTTGGATTTAATCGGTCCCAGAACTTCCCCTGTACTTCCTGGCCTATTGGTGATGTAGTCTTGTCAGTACCGACGGCCCATACAGGTTCATAAGCTGGAACAACCTTGTTGCAGTCCTTCACATTATCTGTGATGACCTTGGTTTGCTCCCAAACAACTTTCTCAGTGATGCTGGCTTCCCTTTATCTAACTTCTCCCCAATGCAGGCAAACACTCCAAGTCCTTCTGCCAGGGTATGAGCCACCTTCTGCCCAGTCAACTCATCTGAGCCCCCTGGAAGATGTGCCTTCTCTCAAAGTACCCTGGGACTACCCAAGGGGTTCCCCAGTTTTTGATCATTCCAGCGATGATCTCCCCAGTGAAGGCCCCATTAGCCACAGAAATCTTGGGATTTAACCTCTGCCTGGCTAAATTGATGTAGGCAGTAGGGTATGCACAAGCCATGTAGGTATGGACAGTTGCCTTATGTGAAGTCAGGGTGTTGATGAGTTCCCCAGATATGTCTTCCTTCTGTCCATCTTCCAATTTATACCCCCTACACACACATACACAAAGAACTTCTTGAAAGGTGTCATTGCCCTGGGATTGACTTGCTGAAGGTCAGTATTAGCCACTCCTGTTGTATCTTAAGCATACAAGAATGTGTGTGTATAGGTTGAACACAGTAGTTTAGACCTATAATCCCATAATTTTGGAGGTGGAAGCAAGAGTCAAGCCTGGACTATCCTGTCTCAAAAAAAGTGTATTTACACATTCAAATGGCAGCATACCATACCATAACTGCTATGCCACAGGTTTTTGGGTTTTTTTCCACTTAATACAATATAGTTTATTGTAAATTTTTCCTGTTGGTACTAATAGAGGCACCCAGATAGTATTTCTTTAATATAAGTAATTTTTAATCCTCCCTCCTAGGATACAATTGGTTCAAAATGATTATCCCAGGGTTACTCACCTCAAGGCATTCTGGGATTTGTAGTTCTCAATAAGTTGAGATGTGAATGGAAGATGAGGCTTGAGCAGAAGTCCTATGTTTGAAACTAAAGTGCCCCTCCAGCAACACTATAAAATTGTATCTTATTATGTAAGATCCTATCACTATATCCAAGTGATGCCAGAATATTAAGATCATCTCATTTAGCCCCTCAATGTACCAGCCTTGACAGACAGGTCAGGAATCATGTACACACACACATACATGTCCTTATAGTATTGCTTAGGTCTCCTAAATCCCAAATCACCCTTAACAATCATGTGACAAATTGCTACTCAGGAAGCTTCTCTAAAAAGTGAATGGACTAGAAAGGATGTGTACTTTGTAGCAACTCACACTGAGCTGCATGATTGCTGTATTAACTCATAGGCATTTGCGCTTTAATACTCCTTAAATCAAAGGATGAACAGATAATAGAAACATATAAACACCAGGTTAGGGATGGTGGAGAAGATTCTCAGATGGTTGGGAGCAAGAATGAGTCTTAGAAACTTTTGGGGTACTACAGTCATTCTCGGACCTCCTCACCCCAACTTCACACCCAATACCATAATTCACTTATCCATATATACATATATATTTATGTAAAACCTAGAAATTGAGCTCATTAATGTATTTTACCTAAATGTACTTGCCCCATAAACATTTTAGAAATTGCTTTTCTGATTTTTTACTTTTTAAAAATATATTTTATTGCCAGTCATGGTGGCGCACGCCACTCATCCCAGCACTTGGGAGGCAGAGGCAGAGGCAGGCTGATCTCTGTGAGTTCAAGGCCAGCCTGGTCTACATAGTGAGTTCCAGGACAGCTCGGGCTACAGGGCAACCCTGTCTCAAAAAGACATATATATATATATATTTATGTGTACGAGTGTATTGCCTGCATGTATGTGAGCTCACCCATGCTATGCAGTGCCACAGAGGTTAGAAGAGGGCATCGAATTCCCCTGGAACTGGAGTTAAGGATGGTTCATAGCCACCATGTGGGTGCTGGGAATCAAACCTGGGTCTTCTGCTAGAGCAGTCAGTGCTCTTAACCACCGAGCCATCTCTCCAGCCCCATGATTTTTTAACTTTTAACTTATTGCATATTTTCATTTACTTTGTGGAGGTGGTGACACATGTGCCATGGTGCGCTTGTGGAAGTCAGAGGGCAATTTGTCAGAGTCAGTTCTTCCCTTCCACCATGTGTTACCCAGGAATCAAACCCAGGTTGTCTGGGTTAGCAGCAAGTGCCTTGACCCACTGAGCTATCACTCCAGTCTGTTTTTCTTTTTATTCAACAATGTATTTGAACTTTTTTTTTTTCTGTGATTATACGTAAGATTTTACCTGACCTTTTTTTTGGGGGGGGGGCAACATGGCACTGTAAAACACTGTGTCTTAGATTTTAATGTGAATTCAAATCATCTAAGATAATCGTGGTGGCACACATCCACAACACCAGCACCCAAAAGGCTGAGACAGAAGGACTGAGTGTTTGAGTCCAGCCTGGGCTACACAGCAGTTTCCTGGGTTTAATCCTCAGGTCTGAAAAAAGGAATCTAGGAATGATTTAGGAGGTATACGGGTAAATCCTAAGTCCAACATTTCTAACTCTCCCAGATATTGATGATGTTAGTCAACATGATACTTAATGGTGAGGTCTTATGGTACAGAAACAGTAGAAATGAGACTAAACCTTATAATCCCAGGGATAGGGAGGCTGAGGCAGGAACTGTGAGTTCAAGCCAGTCTGGTTTACATAGTGAGTGCAAGAGCAGCTTGTACAGGGCTACACAGTAATGCTGTCTCAAAAATCAATCAATCAATCAACAAATTGAGGGGAAAGGGAGTGAGGAAGGGACGGAAAGAGGAAGAGAGACCAAGTCATGTACTATAAACAAAACAGGCAAGGCATCTTTATTCAGGCGTCAGCTTCAGCTGGCCGACTTCAGTTTGAGCCAAAAGGACACCAGTGATTGAAAGGGAGATCAGGCTGCTGTTCACTGAACAGAAGTGAGCAGCAAGCTTTTATTGATTTTTCTGGAGTGGACTAAAATTTGGTAATTGCCCATTGGTCATGGGAAAGATTTCAAAAGATCTTTTCCTTCTGTGCACAAACATTCTGGCTTGTGAGGTTTGCAGGCTAATGTGTGGTGACTTATCCCAGGAGCCAATGAGTTATTCATGGTGTGCATAAATGTCCTGGACCCATGATTTGGCCTGAAATTTATGAGCTGCCCAGACAGCACAAGGTCGGGGTAGAAGAAATGCAAAGCAGCTCCAAGGGCAACAGGCTGAGTTAACTCCGTACTATAGAGTTGGCACAATGTCCAAAAAATTTAATTAATTGTGGAACTTGCTATGTAGACAAGGCTGGCCTAGAACTCACAGAGATCCACCTGCCTCAGCCTCCAGAGGGCTGGAATTAAAGGAGTGTCCTATGTCCTGTTGTACAGGCCACCCTCTCTCCCTTTCCTCCCAAACCCCAATATCTTGAAACCACCTTGCAATCTAGTTGTTTGAAGTGAGGTTGGCAGGACATTTCCAGACTCCCCACCCCAGCCTCAAGTATAAAAATGGCAAATTGCCTTTAGTGACTTGTGACCCCTGGAAAATTGATTACATCATTGATAGTTGGGTTCTCTGGAACCTCAAAGCCTTCAAAAATCCTGATCCATCCCTATAGCTAGGCAGATGCATAGGTTTTAAAATTGCTACCTAACACTCTTGACATGGAAATAAAATACTGGAATTACCTCCAAGGATATATGGAGTTTGCTTTTAAATTTTTTTTCCCTGTCACTTTAAGAAGAAAGAGCTGAGGATGGTTAACTCATACCTGTAATCTCAATCCTCCAGCCTGAGACTGGAGGATGGCAATGGGTTTGAGGCCAGCTTGGTCTCCATACTGAATTCCAGGCCAACTGAGGGTACAAGGAGACCCTGTCTCATAAAAGCCAAAAGAGAGAGCGAGCACGAATATCAGAGTCAAATACTAGGGTCACCCAAATAGCCATGTAACATTTACCAAAGAGAATAGAAAAGACTTGAGAAAAGACCTACAAAACCTATAGTGGTCGTTCCAGACCTCTGCAAACAAATTCATGGAGTCCAACCCCAACTGCGCTATTTGTTACTTGGGACAGGTTATTCGCTTCCGTGTTCCGTTAATTCGTCTCTAAAATGTCAAAATGTGACGCTTAAACACTGATAACCGTTAAACCTCATCATAACACTAAAGCTCATCGCCCGGCAGGAACATCAACTGTGCTGCTTGTGTTTTCATAAGGCTGGCCTTAGGGAGCACTCTTGGTTCTCCTTGGACCCGAAGCCATAGGGATGTTTCCTCCACTCACGCACCAGCTGCCGGGGGCCGGAAGGAGTCAGTGGTTACGGCTATCCTAACACCTCCCGGGCGCAAGAGGGCCCTGACTGCCGCGGTGGACTATGCTGCGGAGAGTACGCCGTGGGCCTCCGGCCAGCGAGAGGGACAGATGAGGGGGGGAGTTAGCGGCGCAGCGAGGGCGGGGCCGGAACTCAGATGACGTCAGCGTACTTAAGATTAGACCTGATCGGGGCGGAGCGAGAAGCGGAGGCGGGGCCGAAACGAGGCCTGACTGGAGCGCAGCGGTCAGCGTGGTCAGAACAAAGCCTAATGGGGGCGGAGCGGCGCAGCCGGAACCGGAACGCGGCCTGATGGAGGCGGAGCTAGCGGAGAGCGGGGGCGGGGCCGGAACTCGGACTGACATGTTGGTCTGTGTACTTCAGGAGAGGCAGGACTGGAGCGGAGCGAGAAGCGGAGGCGGGGCCGGAATAGAGCCTAACGGGGGCGGAGCTGTCAGCACCGCTAGGAGTAGGCCTGATGGGGGCGGAGGGAGAGGCGTGGCGGAGCGAGAGGCCGGGGCGGAACCCGAAGGCGGTCTGACTCGGGTAGAGTTAGCAGCGGAGACTGGGCGCGGCCTGACAGGGTCGGAGCACACAGCTAGGCCAAGGCTGGGCCTGACTGGGGAGAGAGGAGTGAGGAGGCTGAGGCCGGCCAAGCCTGGTCCGGTGCGGCCATGCAGGTGGGTGGTTGCGGCCCGCTCGCCCTGCATTGACTATGGGAGGCATCCGGGAGTACCCTCCCAGCGCGCACTGAGCTGGGCGCACGTCCGACAAAGTGAAACTGCAACCCCGCCGCGGTGATCTGACCTTCCCGGGCCGGAAGGGGTGTCCAGCGGCTGGCTGGGTGGGACAGGTGAGGTGGCCATTTGAGTCGGGATGCCGTGCTGCAGGCGCGTTCAGAGTTGAGGGCGACTCGGGAGCTCGGCGTTAGGGTTCGGAGTGGGATTTCCGGGCGGGGCGTGGGGTGGGACTTAGGGGGCCGAGCCAGAGGCGGAACTAGGTGGAAGTCCTTCTGCGGGAGGACTGAAGCTTTCTGCCGCGAGGGATTGAACCTTGGAGTCTGGATCTGTCTGTAAGGAAAGGGGCACGAGCAGAGGTTTGAGCCTTGGAGCCGTCATTTCTGGGCGTGGGTTTGGGGAAGCCCTGGGAGCTCCCGTGAAAGCAGTGTCCCAGACCTGGTAACAGCTTGAGCCTTCACCCCCCTCATCCCCTAGAAGGCCATGAACGGCAGAGCCCGGAAAGAGGCGGTCCAGGCTGCGGCCCGGGAACTCCTCAAGTTCGTGAACCGGAGCCCCTCACCTTTCCACGGTGGGTGACCAGGTCTAGGGAGGTTAGGGATGGGAATATCCCCGATCAACTTCCATCTCTACGAAAGGACCCTTTTCCTGCAGCCGTGGCCGAGTGCCGGAGCCGCCTCCTCCAGGCTGGCTTCCGTGAACTCAAGGAGACAGAGAGCTGGGATATCAAACCTGAGAGCAAGGTACTACTAGTGGTAGGTTGGGGGCAAAAGCGGTCTGAGTCTTGTGTCAAGCAACTCACACCCCTGCCTTTCATCCCCCTCCCCCAGTACTTCCTCACCAGGAACTCCTCCTCCATCATCGCTTTTGTTGTGGGGGGCCAGTATGTTCCTGGCAATGGCTTCAGCCTCATTGGGGCGCACACGGACAGCCCCTGCCTCCGGGTAAGCAGTTAGGGCTCTGCTGGACTAAAGGGAGGTGTCAAGGGCAATGTGTGGTAAAGAGCTAGGTGGTACATATTGGAGGGCCCTATGCCCTGACACAGGAAAGAAGATAGACTTGTTGCCTCCACTCCACATTTTGGTCAGTCACCTGACACTGATATTTGTCAATGGCTCTAGATCTTGTCATTCAACTTTCTCTGACTTCCTCCTCATCTTTATATTGCTCAGGTGAAACGCAGATCTCGACGAAGCCAGATGGGCTACCACCAAGTAGGTGTAGAGACCTATGGTGGTGGGATTTGGAGCACCTGGTTTGACCGTGACCTGACCTTGGCTGGGCGAGTCATTATCAAGGTGGGAACCAGGGACTGGGAACTGGGGTGGGGAGGGGGGTGTGAGAGGGGATGAGTCTCAATTTAGCAGCCTGAAGATTGAATGTCATGGTTTTTGAATATACCAGTGGAGAGCCCCCTTGCGGAAGAGGGGATATGGTTATTCTGGGTTTATTGAGGGCTTTAATCAACCAGGTTTGAGAGATGCCCAAATCTGACCTGGCCAGTTGGCTACAGTGTCCTACCTCAGGTCGGCTGGAGCAGCGCCTTGTACATGTGGACAGGCCCATTCTGCGCATCCCACATCTGGCTATCCATCTTCAGCGAAATATCAATGAGAACTTTGGACCCAACACAGAGATGCACCTGTAAGACTGTGGCTGGGGCTGTGATGGCTGTGAGTGGTGGGATATGGTACCACATGACAGAGGGGCCCCATCAGGACTCAGGAGGCTACCACTTAATGGCAACAGTCAAGATCCATTTTCAGGACTCAGTTTCTGTCCTCAGAGCTCTGCTATTTGGGGAGCGAGCTGGGAGTGGAAGACAAGGAGAAGCCTGGGCTCATAGTTACCCCACCCTGCAATGTCCTCCAACCCTCCACACTCCCTTCTCTCAATACATCTTCCCACAGAGTTCCCATTCTTGCTACAGCAGTTCAGGAAGAGCTGGAGAAAGGGACACCTGAACCAGGGCCTCTCAATGCTGCTGTAAGCTGCTCCCCTGCTCCCAGGAGGGTGGGCAGAGGGGAAACAGGCCAGTCTTTTGAGAAGAGGCAAAGAAAAAGGTGCAGGTCCTCCTTCTAATATCCTCTGCCCTGCAGGATAAGCGACACCACTCAGTCCTCATGTCCCTGCTCTGTACCCATCTGGGGCTGAGTCCTGAGGACATCTTGGAGATGGAGCTCTGCCTGGCAGATACCCAGCCTGCGGTAAAGAATGGCCATAGGACCTTGTGGGTGGGGGCCTCCAGGATCCCAGCCAACCACAGCATGTCCCCCTGAAGTACTCAGCTCCTCATTACTGTTCTTCCCAATAGGTTCTACTTCTGCTTTCAGTAGTTCAGGATAAGCAAAATACCAGGACTGTGTGGGGTGGGACCTGAAGTTTCTGCTACAGGTGGTCCCTATCTGCTTTGACCCACATTGTTTCTGACCTGAGGGCAAGAGGCCAGGCTGTGCCACCTGGTTGCTAATGCAGGGAACTGCTAAATCTTTTGATTCTGTATCCTGCTTAAGTATGCACTAAGTTTCTGTTTGTCAACTGTTTTTTGGTGACCATTTAGTCCTTCCTTTGCCTGTCCCATTGGCAGAGGTCAGGAGCTATAGGCTTCCTCTTCTTGGCAGCCCTACCCTGTCTCCAATTCTCAGCTGACTCTGTACAACAAGAACAGTTTCCTAAGCCAAGAGTCAAGAGAAGCTTCATTGGAAATCTAGCAGCTGGTTCAACTCAGGCTGTTGGGAACAGAGAACAGTAGATGAAGGGGCTGGGCACTCAGACTTGGGTGTCTATCCTATCTGTCTAGGTCCTGGGTGGAGCCTATGATGAGTTCATCTTTGCCCCTCGGCTGGACAATCTGCATAGCTGCTTCTGTGCCCTGCAGGTGAGGAACCAGAACCCCTACCCCACCCCTCCTCCCAGCTGCCAGGTAGCACACACCCAGGAGAGGTGGTAGGATTGCCTTAAGCCCCAACAGGTAATAAGAGAAGGCCACTTAGCCATGCCCTCAGTCAGCTGGTGCTAGGAGGGGCCCAAATGCTGCAGCTTTGGCATCACTGTTCTTGTGCTAGTTTGGGACCAGACACTGAGCTATGGGGAAGCTGAGAAGTATTCAGGGTGCTGTGGTGTATTTTCCTAACCCTGTCTGCTGCTTTTCCTTAAAATAACAACCTCTGCCTTAAAGGCCTTGCCACCATGAAAGGCAGTGTCTTCCACTCTCTTTGCTTCTCTCCTACACTGCTGCTCCCTTAAGTCTCCTCCTTTCATCCTGTCAGCCTTGTTTGTCTTCCTTGGGACCTCAGTGGGGCAGTCTGTGTCTCCTGGTCACCTTCATGTTCCTTAACTTTCTACCCTACTCAGGCCCCTTCTTAGTCTTCTGTGCTTATCCCTCCCTCAGACTTTTAACTTCCCTTTCCCTGCCTGGTCTGTCGTTGGAGATAGGCTTTGGGCAGTAACTGCAGACTTGGAGCCTGCATGTGGTTCTGAGGCAACCAATTAGGTTCATGGCCATCTCTGGAGCTCTCATTAACTGAGGCCCATCAGTTTGCATGATCGCTGTAGTCTTTGACCTTCCAAGATTTTCAGCTTCTCCATCTTCAACACTCTCCTCCTGCCTTCTGCATGGAAAGATGTGGGAGCCAAGTACTCAGAGGATAGGTTCATTCATCCCTATTGGAAAGCCTCTGTCAGGCAGTGCCCTAAGAGAGAAGGCTGCTAAAAGCCCAGCCTACTTCACTGGCAAAGCAGCACGCTCTTCCCAGGAAATGTCAGACTAAATTGTAAGAGGAGGAGGGACAGAGAGGGTAAAGTTGTCTTTTTCCCCAACCAGGCTTTGATTGATTCCTGTGCATCTCCTGCCTCCCTGGCCAGGGAACCCCATGTGCGCATGATCACACTCTATGACAATGAAGAGGTATGTGGAGGTCCCTGGGAAGAGGCCCTTCTGGGGAGGGAGTCTTCAGCAGCTACTTGGTGGCAGACACTCACAGTGATCCAGGGCCATTGTTATGGCCCCCAAGATGGGTGAAGGAGAACTGCCAGTGCTACCTTGCTGGTCCTTTCTGGCTCAGCATATATCTGCTTCTAGTTCTCCCCCATCTCCCATAGTCCCTGTGTGCCTTGGTGTACTCCTTCCCTAAGTTTAGGGGACACTGCCTAGGGTATCCTTTCAGGCCCAGGGCTTGGCACATAGTAGGTCCTCTGTTGTGTGTCCCCTACAGTCTACTGCACTGTAATAGAGCTGCTTGATAGGTACATAGTTCTCTCTTCTGTAACTGAGATAAATCAGCAGTTCACCATGAGTCTCTGGTACCCCTGAAGGCTTGGCTATTTCACTTCTGGCTATCTTGTCTATACCTAGTCATCAGTAAAGGAGGAGAAGGCAGAGAGAGTTTGGCCCAGAAATGGAATTCATTATTTCTTTCATTCATAAAACTTAGCATGACCACATTTAACTACAAAGGAGGCTGGGAATGATATCTCTAGCTGGGTAGTTAGTTGTGTAGCTACAGCTTGAGTCTTCTATTAGGATAGACAATTAATAGTCTCTGTCACATGTATCAAAGGACATTGACCAGTGTGCTGTGTGATACCTGCTGAGCCCTAATGTGAGGGTTGGAGAACAGTGTGGAAAATCTCATCAATAAATGCTGTTTCTAGCTCAGAAATGACTAAGAATTTGTCTAGCCCATCTATCAGATGTTCAATAAAGACCTGGATTTAGGGAAATTGGTAAGGAGACCTATCCTTACCCAGTCACTCAGGAAGGTCCTGGGCCATTCTGGACATTGGGCCTCTCTCAGTTGGCCTTGCAGTTCAGGTCATGTCCAGAACCCTCAAGTCAGGTCTTTACCATCCCCAGGTAGGATCAGAGAGTGCTCAGGGAGCACAGTCTCTGCTGACGGAGCTGGTGCTACGGCGGATCTCTGCCTCACCTCAGCATCTGACAGCCTTTGAAGAAGCCATACCTAAGTCCTACATGATCAGTGCAGACATGGCCCATGCTGTGCATCCCAACTACTCGTGAGTCTCCCATGCCAGATCATCCTCACTGCTAGAGACCCAAGCATAACCCACCTGCAGGCTGGGCCCTGGCCTTGCCTTCTTTCTTCATCTGCTGAGAGGTTCAGTGGATCATCCCTTTTGATTGTTCCCAGGCCAGAATTGATCAAAGTCATGTAATGTCTAAGCCAAATAGGCCTACCTATAATCTTGTTTCCATCAATGACTAGGTTTATAGAGAGCCTGGAGGACCTACAGATCTGGATGGGAAATAGTGCCATGACCCATTAGTGTTGTCTGTCTTAGAAAGGATGGTGGGTGTTAGCAGGCCCCACTCTGTGTGCCATCCTGTCCCTTTATCACCTCTTGCAGGGACAAGCATGAGGAGAATCATCGGCCCTTATTCCACAAGGTGAGATGCTCCTTAGACGTGTGGCCTGCCTGACTCTGGCTCATCTATTTCCTCTGGACCCAACCATCTCTTTCCTCTTGACTGTCCCCAGGGCCCTGTGATCAAGGTGAACAGCAAGCAGCGCTATGCCTCCAATGCAGTGTCAGAGGCTTTGATCCGGGAGGTGGCCAGTCAGGTTGGAGTGCCTCTGCAGGTGAGTGTGCCTTATCTGAGAAGGCATGGAGGGGTCAGGATGAGGGCACAAGCTGATGTGCCCCAGTGAATGGGGAACCTGGTAGATGAACTTAAGTGGAGCAGTTCCCAATAAATAGAACAGAAGTTTGGGATACAGACAGAGCTAGGTGCATTGCCTGTTCTGCAGTAGTGCTTGCTCTGTGACAGCCTAATCTGCTAAGCTGACTGAGTCTCAATGTCCCCATCTGTAAAATGGGAGTGGATTTTGCTGGATTTCTGTGAGGTTAAAGATATATACTCCTGCAACATGATAGGTTAGTCCTGCCTTCTTCCTTCCCAGTGTCCTACTTCCCCTGTGCCTTTTTTAAATTCTTACTCCCTGCTTCCCCAAGTAATATTCAGCACTGGGAACCTAGAGCCCTAACTGTTCCTTTTACCTATGTCCTTGGAATCATCATCATTCTCCTAAGTCTTTATATATAAT